AGGCACGAGTCCTCGGACGGGCTGGAGCCCCCCGGGAGGTCGCCGATGGCCGACAGCACCAGCGACCCGCTGTCCATGGACACTGTGGGCAGCAGGGGGCGCTGGGTAGCACCGGCCCGGCCCGGCCCAGGCCGTTTCCCTTTGCTCAGGCCCAGCCTCTGGGAGCCGCTCTGCCTGGTTTTATCTCAAAGGAGACGGTTAAGTCCAGGATTCCAAGAAGCCCCCACCCTCGCTTGTCCACACACCACCAACTCGGCCTTGTCTCCCCCTGTTTCGCTCCCACCCAGCTCTGCTCTCCCAGGCCGCCGGCCCTGGCCCATCCTCCCCACTTTCTGCTCACCATCCACAATGGAGGCCACCCGCTCGCAGATGCAGGAGCCATCATGAAGCTGAGGATCAAACAGAGTGGCCTGCAGAAGACACAAGGGTCCAAGGTCTAGCTCTGCACACTGATATGGCCACCCCCCTGTGCTGGACAGAACTTCGGATTCCAGTCCCGCTGTGTCACTTTGTAAAGTCACTTATGTGGGCCTCTGTTTCCGTATGTAAAACAGAAATCACGGTTCCTACCCCACCCACCTCACCAGGCTCTGGGGAGATCAAAGATGGCAGTGGATGTGTTAGTGCCATAAGATCATGGGAACTGTTCTCATCTCTATCCAGCGACTGCAGCTCACTCAGCTTTCATGCTCTAGCCCTGGCTCCCTGGCCCACACCAAGCCTTGCTCTCACCTGGCTGTCTCCTCGTAGCCCCATAACGGCCTCATAAGAAGGGGGGCAATCAGTAGGGTACAAGGGCACTGGGCTGTCCATGGAGCCGTTATAGGTGATGCTGGTGGGAAGAGGGAGAGAGAGTGTCAAAGCCTGGAGAAGAACTATTCCCCAAAGACCCTCCCCACCAATCAAGGCTGCAGCCCAAGCCCCCTTCCCCTGCCTTCGTCTCCCCAGCAGGAGTTCGCCAGGCCTCACCTCTGTGCATCTGTTTCTGAGCTGCAGGTGTACTCTGGGGGGTAGTAGGGAGGTGGGGGCACAGGTGGTACAAATTCCTCCAAGTCCATCATGGTGTGCAGGAGAGGGGCCGGGGGCGAGGAGGTACAGCCCAGAGGCCCCAGGGGACCTGAGACAGAGCGCTCAGGGGCCAGCTGCTGGGGAGCAAGCAATAACCCAGGTTTCTGGTTATTGGACTCCCAAACTCCTCACCTCATCTACATTTTCTGGCCCCGCCCCCAAAGCTGCTCAGCTTGGCCCCGCCCTCAGCCAGAACCAGCCCCTCCTCTAACCCTGCCTCCACCCAGGACCTCCAGCTCTGGCCCTGCCCATCTAAAATAATTCCTCCTCTTTATGACCCCATCTCCATCCAGAATCACCACCTGCTCTGTCCTCACCAGAACATCAACCCTTCATCCCCACCCCCACCTAGGCCCTTCTTGACCCCACCCAACTTCTAGCCCCACTCTTTAATGCCCCCTCTCCTGGCCCCCGACTGGCATCACATACTTTCTTACTCCCTGTCATTCCTCTCCTCACCACCACCCCCCTCGGACCCCCTTAACATCCCTACAATAATAGACATTCCTAATGGGTGATCTACAGCCCCCGGTGCTCAGAGGAATCACTGTAGTCACCACCCCCTCAACCCCAGTCCCAGCACATACACCCCTGCCACCCCTCCATTACATCTGCTTGGCCTTCACCCCGGCTCCCCCCTCACCGTGTGCATGAGGTCAAGGGAGAATATTTGGATGCAGCAGACAATAGCTGAGACGGTACAGATTATGGTGGCACAAACGGTAAGTCCGCAGACGCTGAAGAGCAGGTTCTGGGAAAAGAAAGAGAGAAAGAGGGATATATGAGGGGAATGGGTAATCCCACATAGCCTGGGCCTGTGAGGACCGCAGGAGGGGAGGCATGGTCGGGGAGGAAGGAATGG